CTCAGGGTATATCCAGCTGGAGGGGACCTCGAAACAGATACATCCCCCCATCCCCTCCCCTGGGGCCATGGGGGGAGGGGGCACTGTGACCTCTTATTAAACATTTTTTAAATATATTTAACGTTCTTGGTGGCTCCGGTCCCTTCTTGTCCCACCTGCGACCCCCCATGGGGGGCAGCAGGGCAGATGCAGTTACTTCTGGGGAGGGAGTATTGTATTGGACCCTACCCCCCTGGCCTGGGCCTGTGATGCGGCCACTTGTGCGGGGACGGCAGGGGGTACCCTAGAGAGGGGTGGCGGAGGGAGAGCATGAAAGCATGGTGTTCACTACCAACGGAGGGGAGTGTGAGCGGGGCCTTAGCTGACAGGCATACTCTTGGACCTTTCAGAGTGGGGGGCCGGCCCCAGGCAAAGAGAGCGCCTAGCCGATTGGTTGCATCCGCCCAGCTGCTCACCAATGAGTTTGTTACTAGGGGAGGAGGCGCGGCCTCGCTTGGGGTTGAGCGGGTGGGACCCGGTTTTGACTGGCAAGGCGGCTGGCCAACGGCGGCGGGGGGGCGAGAGTGAGGTATCAGCTCACCAATGGGATCGGTCTTCAACTAAGCGGGTTCAAAGGGGTTGGGTCCCCGCTAACGAATGGCCCCCGGCCTCCGCCAATGGGATGTTTCACGACCTTTGAGCGACATCGTCCCTGTCCACTACAACAGCCACTCGTCTGAGGCGAGGCGGGACGCGAGCGACTGGTGTTTGCCTCTACCAATGAGAAGTTCCACTCACCGTGAGCGACATCACTGCCGTCCAATAGAACTGCTGTCCGTCTGAGGGGCTTTGTGAGTGACACCCGTCCCGTCCAATAGCCTTCGACCTGCACTGAGAGCCGCGACGGCGAGGCTGAGTGACACCTCCCTCCCCCAACGCCGCTAAAGGGGGCAGGGGCAGAGCCTCACGGTCTCCGCCAATAGCGGTGCCCCTTAGCCGGTAAGGGTGGGGCCCGCACGTTGAGCGACATCTCTAAGACCCAATGGTGGGGACCGCGGCGCGGAGCGGCCAATGGGGATGGTGCGGGGCGGGCCCGGGCCCTCCCTCGCTATACGGCCCGAGGGGCGGGGGGAGGGAGCACTCGCTCTCCCCGGGCTTCGCACGCAAGATGGCGGAGGCCGCCAACTGCATCATGGAGGTGCGGGCGGGGGACGTGGGCGCGCGGGTCTCCCGGGGGCCGTA